TCTTGTTCAAAAGTCAGAAGTCGGATTCCCGGGCTAGCCCGCGTGCTCCGAACCACGAGGGCGCCAGTTGGCCTCCTCCCTCCCTCCCTGCGAGCCAGCCCTGCGCGCCAGGGAGATACTGGCAAACCGGTAAGGGACTGTCGTCTGCTGTGAAAGGAAAGGACTAAGCCTGGGATTCCCGGCCACAGATGCCACCCGCTCACGGTGTCCGCCCCGCTTCTGGGTTGCTAGGACCCAGCCAGGGGGACTTGGCATTTTTCTCAGAGACTTGAGAATGAGTGTGTGAAATTCATCAGCCTGTGAGACTTCAAGTAACTGTCCTGCCTGCTGGAGGGCCGGGACCAACAGGGCATTATCGTCTGTAATTGGTGTTGCCATGACAGCTGTCAGCTACCAATGCAAACCAAAAACTTTGGCGCGAGATAGGGGGTTCAATCGCCAAGTGACTTGTTTACATGTGTGTGTCTGTGTATGTGTGTGTAATTGCCCCAAAGAAAAACAAAACACAAAACTTGCACTTTAATAGTTCTAGTGTCAACGTGACATGAACAAAATCTCTACATTTCTATTGTGTAAGGTCTTTATTAATTTTTTAATTTAAAATAAAATAATTAAAAAACGGAAAATGGTGCTTTCGTTGCTCTTGCTTTTAGGGGGCTGGGTTCCTGCCTCAGTGGTAGTGGCCACGAAGAACTGGAATGGGACCTTGCCTTCTGAAAATGGCTTCCCAGCCTCCAAGTGGGAAATGCTGTAGATCTTTCTGGCTTTCTCCGTCTACCCTCTCCTGGCCCGTCACTGAGGGACTTGGTCTTGGAGAACAGTCACACTCCCCTTCCACACCGCCCATCTGTTAATCATGGCAGGCTACAGGAAGCAGTCGAAACTGACCTGATTACCAAAAACAAGAGGCCAGAGAGTGAGCTGCAGAGTATTGGGGAAGATGCCTGTGCTGGATGCGTAAGCCCTGCCCCAGGGGCCAGGACCCAAACAGGGCAAGTATCAATAACCTGCAAAAGAGCTCCCTCAGGCGCTCAACCAGGCAGGCCACCCCTCTGCACTTCGCTCTCTCCCTCCGTGGCTAAGGGCTGCTGGCTTGTGACCCCAGATCTCCTTGCCACTCTGTCAACTTGGGGCAAGTGTCACCTTCTAAGCCTCCAATTCTGCAGCTGAAAGATAGAGGCACTCTGCAGGGTTCAACATGGTATCTAAAGAGTCAAAACAGCTGCTGAACCCACAGAGCCAAATATTTGGTGGTTTGTTTTGTTTTCCAAGAGAGTCTTGGCCTTTAAGGGATGTTCAAAGTTGTTTTGGGGTGGGGCTTCAACCCTGCTTTGGGAAGGGCCACTTCCAAGGAACTGCCCCTCCTCAAATCACAGAATGGATGTCCGGGTTGCCCAGGGTCTCCTGCAGGAGACATGTAGGCTTGTATGCTAGCTTCATGGATGCATGTGCCAAGTGGAAGAAGGAGCACAGTGAAGATTTTGCTTCTACATTACCCACTCAACCACCGTTCTAAGTCACTATAAAACTTAGAGTCCCAGGGTTTGACTCCTAGCACTGTAAGGGAGAAGGGGTTGGGGACAGACAAACCATGTGTCCTGAGAGGAGAGCATACTTTTAAATCATACTTGAAAATGTGATAGGCCAACACAGCAGAACAGATAGGACTCCACATCCCTCTAGCCTTTTGAGGAGCCTTTCTCACCCCGTCAGGAAGATCTGAAGCCCCTGCATTCCATGTGCTCCATGCTTCACAGGAACTAGTCAGAGCCTTAAAACAGGCTCAGCCGCTGCTTCCGCTTCCCAGGTCATAACTGATTCAGTTAAATAATCCCAAGGTAAAGGTGGTGTAACTGCACCCTCAAACTCGGAGCCACTTTTCTACCCAAACTACTGGAAGTCAAACCCCTCTTTTCACATAGGTCCCAACTATGAGGCATCTCAGACAATGCCACCAGAACCCTTGTTAGAAACATCCCTGGCCAGCACTCCTGCCGGCAAGGCCAATTGGCAGGTGCCTGCTAAGTCCTAAACTGCTCAGCCCAGGCTGTGCCCATTTCAAGATCCAAACAATACTGGGTACTTCTCACCTTACTCTTGCGAGAGGGAAAGGGCCACTGTGCCCTCAGCGTTGACAGCCCCTGGGAAGGAGAGAACACGGTGTCCTACCTGGGACTAGCTGGGCACACTCCGCAACTAGAACACAGCTATGAAACCTCCAGGCAGCTCCCCCTGCCCTTTGGTCCTGACTCAGAAACCACAGACCCCTGGCTAAGGAACCACCCTGCCTCTGCAGCCACCGTGCTCCAAACCAAAAGTGTGCAGGGTAGCAAATGTGGCTGACTCCTTGGCTAGAGGGGAGATGACATGGTAAGCCAGGGCATATGAACCAAGGCAGAGCCACTTGCTTAGCAGCCTCTCTGAGCCAGTGTGGGAAGGACAAAGGGCCCCAGGCAAGCAGTGATTTGGCTATTCTGAGCACTGCCTGAAGTGATGGAGATAAAGGGAGCAAGAACCCTATGGCTAGCATGCAGGAGGCTGGAAGCTGGAGTTGGTGGCTGACTGGCAGGCCTGTGGGCTGTCGCCCCCAGAAATACAGTTTCATTCAATAGTACAAACAAAAAAGGAAGTGAACTGTTTTGGGGGAGAAGCCACCCACCCTCTGGCCTTTCAAACAATGTTCATGCTCTCACAGCCTTCTTTAATTATATTAAACCCATGCCATCTGAGTGCAGGCCTAATTTACCCCATGAATTCTATGCAAATGCTTCATGAAACTGCTGTTAACAGGAACAGTATGTACCTGATCCATGCTGATGGTATCGGGAGTGGGAGGAGTCGAAGGAGAGAAAGGAACAGCTTCCTCCTCTCCCTCTGTGCCCTCTAGACCTGCTGATGGGGCCTGGCCCAGCTAGTCAAGGCTGAATACAGCCACCCAGGCCCACACCAGCTGAATGTGGCCTCACAGTTTAAAGCCAGGCTCCCAAGGAGCCGGCCGCCACAGGTATGAAGCTTTCAGTCCCTTGACAGCTGCCCTGGGAGCTCGCCCTACTAGTCCTTGGGGATCTCAAACATGCAGAGACTCTTGTACTTCTGCAGAAGCTCATTCTTGGTCCTGACTTGCTCTCGGAGGCTGTGTAGCTGCTGCTGCTGCTGCTCAGGGCTCACATGGATGCCAGGCATGGTGCCTATGAGCTTTCGCATCTCCTGGAACTTTGTTTTGAGGGCGTTCAGGTCCTGGTGGAGATCGGGGCTGTCCTTGTCCATGCTGGGGGGGGGGGGGGAGAAGGCAGTCAGTTATTATTAGCACGTGCAGCTTATCTCCACAGTGGCTTCCTTGTTCTATACCCTCAGATAACGTTCAAACTGTTCTGTTTGACATGTCTGTACCCTGACTGGGTGGCCCAAACCAGAAGACAGGGATTGGTCTTTTTTTTTTTTTTTTTTTTTTAGCTTTAAGCTAGGCCATAAAAACACTCCCTGACTAGCAATTCATAAACTCTCTGCCCTGTGAGGACAGAGATGAGATGGAGCTTCATCACAGGTGTCTCACCAGCCTGGCCCTAGACAGGACACTATGCTCAAGAAACAACTGTGGATAAAGAACACTTACACCAGCATGACAAGCTGAGTTTGGAGCTCCACCACCCACAGAAAAGCAGGGGCACACACAGGGGAAGGTGGGGATACAGAAGCAGGCAGAGCACAGAGCTGACACAGCAGACCTCAGGTGTAGTGAGGTGTGACAAAGCTGGCCCCCGAAGTGTCCTCCTGTGGTCTCCCCACCACTCACATGCACATACCACACAGACACCAAATTAAGTTTTCAAAACACCATTTAGCCACAGCCAGGCTAAATGACTATGCCATTCCCAATACCAAAAACAAAGAACAAAACCAAACTGGCTGAAATACTCCATTTCACCGGACCTGAGCCATTTCTAGGCCAACCAGAGGCTTTGTCAGCAGGACCTTCCTTCATCACACTGAGGCATGGTGGTTGCTTAGGCCTGTTGACATAAAGATGAATTCCCATAAAGCAAGTCATAAATTTTAAATCAGCTACAAGCTACTGGAGAGTTCTCAGCAGATACAGGCTCTCTTCTACCACAGTTCTGCAATGCCTTCTTCTGGATCAAGTTCATTTTGAAGACAGATCATTCATGCCCTTCATAGCCGTGGTCCATGGCACAGATCCCCATGCCAGTCATCAAACTAAATGCAAAAGAACCAAAACCCTAAAGAACAAAGGAGTCTCCCTGAAGCCAGAAAACAGAAGAGCTTCAGAACCAGCGCCAGTTCAGTGCACAGACACCGAGGACTGCCGTTGAGCTGGTATCAGAATTTAAAGTAGCCCCCTCCACAGATGTAGCTGATAGGTAGCTGGGGCTTCACGTGGGTTCCCTAGTAAGGGGAGCAGAGGCTGTCTCCAACATGGACTCTATTGCCTGCTGTTTGTTCACGTCTCCCTAGTGGGGATGCCTTGACAGACCACAGGGGATGAGGTGAGCTCAGTCCTGATGTGACTTGATGAGCTGGAGTGGGTTGGGGCGGGGGATGAGAAATAAGGGAGGAGAAATAAGGGAGGAGGGGTAGGAGGGAAGGGGAGAGGATGGGATAAAGAAGAGAGGAGGGAAGGGGCTATGATTGGGATGCAAAGTGAATAAGTAAATTAATTTTTTTTAAAAAGAAGGAAGGAGGGCTGGAGAGGTGGCTCAGAGGTTACGAACACTAGCTGCTCTTTCAGAAGTCTTAAGTTCAACTCCCAGCAACCACATGGTGGCTCACAGCCATCTATAATGAGATCTGGGCCCTCTTCTGTACATGCACACAGAACATTGTATATATAATTAAAAAAAGAAGGGTTTGTTGCCATATGGTCCTAGAGCGTTTAGCCCACCGCGGCAGGAAGGGTCTGGCAGGAGCAGGAGGCAGCTGGTCATTCTGCCTCCGGAGGCAGACCTTTTTACTCCATCCAGACCCTCAGACTACGGGAGGACCCCCCTCCCCCATTTATGCTGGATCTTCCCACATCAATTAACCTAACCTAGAAAATTATTTTCATAAACATGCCCTGATATTGTTTCCACAGTGAGTCTAAATCCCATCAAGTTGTCAACATTAACTATCCTGTCTACATAAAATAAGTTTCTATGTGGACTCTGTGTTTAAGGTTTAACTGTGCAAAGGCAAAGGAGTTGTTTTTAATTAGATGGGATTATTGAGGATGTTTTGTCTTCATGATTTGAGAAAATGTCTTGAATAAAAAAACAGAAAGTGAAAAGAAATTCATAGTTTAAAGAAAACTAGTTTACATCACAAGTCTAGAAGAATACAGTAAAAAACAAACAAGAAAAAAAACCCACAAAATTAAAATGTGGAAGACGGTTTATAGTAATAAAGTTCTTGCAGCAAACTCAACTCACCCCCAAAGAAATTCTGATTCAGAAAGCAAAGCGTGGGCCTCGTTTCAGATGCTCACTTCTGAAACCCCCAAACTCCAGATACCCATTCTTTACGGGGTGAATTTGGGGAAAGGGGTTAGCCTTTGGGAAAGCCAGCCGGAGGGAGCTGGGCTACAGGCCTCTGCACTAAGCTGCCCTGGCTGGTAGCGGTAAACAGCACAGAAGTCCTGGGGTGAGGAAAACACTCTATTCAGGAACCTGCTCAAACCAAGAGGGAACCTGTTATGCCAGAATGACTGTGAAACAGTGAAATCCCCAGGCCTAAAGAACAGGGTCAGGTGTGATAGTGAGGGAATAAAAGTCAACAGCTCTAAGTGGGCCCGCCTTTGTGCTCAACATTAGTCACCATCCAACTTTAGAAGGAGAGAGAGACTAGGTCAGGGAAGATGGAGATCACACAAGCAAGGACGAAGTTAGAGCACCGCGGTTCCATCGACTGTGCCTTCTTACAGAGTGGGCAGAAGTACAGCCGTGGGGGTGTGAAGAACAGAGCATCCTCCCAGCAGCAAGCAGAGGCATTTAGACCTGTCTCCAGGCTCTTAGACGAAAGCCTAGGACAGATGGGTGCATCTAAGAACATGCCCTGGTTTTCCTCAACTTTTTTGCAGAAGCAAACTGGCAACAAGTGAACAGTAGTCTCCAGCAGTGCCAAAGCAAGGGAAGGCCAGGGATCAGCAGGCCAGTCCCTCTTCTCACCCCTGGTGACTTGGGGCCTGTATCTTTCTCCGGCAGACTTCCAGGCCCTCAGAAGCATGCCTCTACCTGTCCCTGCCGACCCACCCTGAGACTAGTGCCCCTCAGTGTCCTCTGCTCCCGGCCTCACCTCCCACTGTGCTGATCCAGTGGCTTACATTTTCCCCAGATGATTTTTTCTCTTAAATATTAGAAGATGCTGGGGGGAAGAAATTCAAAGTGATAGATAGATATGCTGGAAAGGGGAAGTCCTTTTTGTCCCAAATCCCAGAGACACCTATGTTAGCATATGATGTAAACTGCTGTAGATCATTTTAAAATGTGCAATAATAGACAACGTGTGTATACCTTTGTTATTCTGACAGAAGCATAGCAAATGTGGTTCTCACTCTTGTCTCTCCATATTCATATGCATTTGGTTGCAAGGTGAAATATTTACAAACAGTTGTCTGGAATGTTTGCAATTCATCACAATGACCTTGGACATCGGGTACCTGCACCTTTACATAACCGTGCAAGTTTTCTGGAAAGATAATACTGTGCCAGGAGACTTCTGGATGAAAAGCTTGATATTATTTTTGACACATGCTGCCAGAATGCCCTCTGAGCTAGGCACAGTGACACCTATAATCTCAGTTTCTTGGGAGACTAAGGCCAGAAGACCAAGTTTAAGGCCAGCCTAGGCAACACAGTAACACTCCATCCCAAACATAAACATACATCTCTGCAAAACGCATAGATGTCTCTCCCCTGACCGTGGGCAGTCTGACCTGGGTGTTAGTGGCTACTCGCAGCCTAGCAGTGATCTGGTTTTCTCTGTAGTTCTGCCAGCTCCCACCAGGTCTCTGGACCAGTGGCTCTGGACTTCCCACACTAGCTTTCATTAGCACAGGACTGCTTGTGTTTTCATTCTCTTCACCGAGCAGTTACAGAAGGTTCTGCTTAGAGAAATATGAAAAAACTGGTCTCCAGCATACCTGTGAGCTTGTTTGCTCACTCCCAGCAACTCCCACAGCCCCTTTTCCTGAGTCTGCCTTCTCAGCCAGCACCAGATTTTCTCCCTGGAGTCTGCGGAGCCTGCAAGCACTCCCAGCAGAAGTACCAACTGCCCGTCTCTATCTACGCCCGTAAGGGGCAGCAGCCCTCACCCAGGCCGCCCTCTGATTTTCCCAGCTATGTGTCCAGCCAATGCCCTACCCCAGACTCTCAGACAACTCACTGCCACTGCTTCTTAGACGTACAGGGCCTTGTGCTCCTCCTAGGCCCTCTATCTTACCCACCTTCAGAGATCCCAGTCTGAGCAAGTCACTGTGCTGCCTAAGAACTGTGTCAGCTCTCCACCACACAGGGCAAATCCAACTGTGAAGGAGGCCATGGGGGCCATTTCAAGTACTCTTAACTTACACTTCCCAAGACAGCTTCACTAGCAGCTTTTCTTTTACTGTATTTTCTGATGGCATGGAGGCCGCCCTCACCATCACCATCCTCACCATCAGGACCTGGGTCACTTCTACTGAGTCTGGACAGAACTGACACAGAAGCAGAGATCAGAAGCAGAGATCTGGAAGCAGCACTTCCAGGTCATCTCCAGACAGGCCCAAAGGGTCCCCTTCTGCTCCAGGACAGAGCTGAGGGAGACGTGGGCACAGGGCGGACAAAGGGCAGCAGGATCCCAGACATGGCCTGTGGGGGCGCTTCCTGCACAGCCCAGCAGGGCTCAGCTGGCAAGGAGCCTGTGTGTGGGAAGAGGCAGGTCAGCAACACCCTGTTCCCATAGAAGAGGTCTTGCTGACCTGCCATGCGCAGGCGGGAGGGGTGCCTGCACTCACCACTTGAACTCCCTGTGCTAGGTCAACAAGGATGGCTCTCCTGTATCCACCAGCAACCTAACACATCTGGCAAAAGTATGGCATTTAATTAAAACCACATTTTTTAAGTACCCAAATTGACAGACTACGACTGGGTAGGCCAAAAGGCAGCAGACAGGCAGGGGTATTTCACTTCAGAACAGGTAGACTGTAACACTTAGTTCCAAACTCCAATGAGATAGGCTGAATTGAAAGGTCTTGTTTTATTCCTCCTTTCTCATCTACGTCCCTTGCAGTCATTA